AGGGGGTGCAGGTGGGGGGGAGCAAGTCTCCTGATTAATTTTTTTTTTTTTTTAATAAAAAGATTAGCTCTGGAACATACTGAAAAGCTGCAGAACCTATATGAGCAAAGTCAGATGTCTACATGCATAATTACAGTTACACATAAGCAATCAGTTGTTCTAAAGAATAACTGACCACCTTGGAATTATTTTGCATTGATTCAGGCTTGTTTGAACTATGTAGATTGAAAAACCAGTTAGGAAACAAATTGTTTCTAAGATAAATTCAATTATTTCTCAAGATACTAGGGGGGAAAAAAAACCTCTAAGGGTACTTGTTGTTCCTGCTCTTTAAATAATAGAAAGTGTACTTTCTTATCAAATGCTATTTATTAAAGCAGATATGTTGGAAAATTACTGTAGATTCTAGTTTAGTTTGCACACAGCACACTTCCAGTCAATTCCTATACATATCAGAACAAGCACGTACACCACTCAGTTCAGCTAGCAAAAATATAGTTTGATGTTGATTAAACATCATTAAACATTAAAACCATTTAATTGACAAAACTGAAACAAAAGCAGGGACAGACATGAATAAGAATTTACATTATCTATATCTCTATATATCAAAAGGCACAGAGCTTTCCAGAGCCATTGGAAACAATACTGTTGGTAATTAAAATGGACAGTCCCAAAGGGAGTGGCCTTTGGTTATTCCAGCTTTAACCCTTTTATGTTATAACTCTTAAGGAATGCTTCTGCCCTTGTTTCTATATCAGCTTCTGAATATTCCCTTCCAGGACATCTCCATGGCTCTCTACAGTTTCCCTGAGATTTTGAGGATTTTAAAACATACTATACAATATATTTTATGTCCTCTTTTTAAACTTATCTGCTTCCTCTTAAAGATGGCAGGATATATTTGTATGTATGTATATTTGTATGTATATTTGTGTGTGTCACATACATGCACACAGCCACATCATTAGCTGTCCACATCAAAATATTTGAGGCAAGAGATTAAAATACTTCTTTTATCTGGCAGTGATGCAGTTCAAAATCCCTTTTTCCTCACTCAGTTATGAAATCGTCAGTGGTGATTTGAAAATAAATTACATTTCAATTCAAATTCAAATATTCAGTTCTGATCCATAACAAAAATTATTTCAGGTTCATAAACAAGTGAAAAATGCTGCCTTAAGAAATAGCAAATATATTTCCCCCCAAACCAAACATTTTATTGCAATTGTTTTACCAGAAATCTGTTGTTAGAGTAGAATTGGTTCAGATCTTCTCATATATATCTTACAGAGAACTAAATGGGCTCTTCCAGGTGACTAACCTTTTCATCTCACAGTCCTTCTCAATATACTGTATTGTGATATCATGGTATGTTCAGAGCCTGAATGTGATTGATTACCTGCTCAACTGGACCTTCGTCCCATATTAGTTAAGAGAATAGTCTCTTGCCAGTTCATACAGAGGCCCCTGGTAGAAGACTTAAAAAAAAAATCTCCACCTTAACTAGCTGAGGCCTAAGTTTGGTTCTAAAAGTGAAAAATATCCAGTTGTTAAGATTTCTGTAACTTTATCTTGTCCTCTCATTAAAAGAAACCCAGAGAGAATAAATTGTTTTCTGCTGAAGAGGGCTGCCAAGACATTTCCAAAGAAGGGTGCGTGGCCTCATTTTGGTCCACTGTCAGAACTACATCTTCAGCTGCAAGACCGTGGTGCTTGATTTTGTTTCATCTCTAACCTAGGCAGTACTGGGATTGCCTATTACTTACTGAGTTAGGTTCAAGGTTTGGTTCTGAAATACAGAGCCTTAAACAGCTTGGGACTACTAGACTTCCTTCTCTGTTAGAAACCTCAAAAATTGCTAAGAATATCTATTCCATCTTAGTGCATATACTGTGATTTACAGCAATCGATCATGAGCAGGGCTCTTCTGTTGATAATTCAAGAGGGATGTGTGTGTCTGTGCGCGCGCACTTGTGTGTGCATGTGTGTGCACCTTCAAGTCAATGTTGACTCCTGGTGAATGCCTGGACAGCTCTCTGCAGTTTTCTTCGCAAGATTTCAGAAGTGGTTTGCCATTTCCTCCTTCCTAGGGCTGAGAGTGACAGGCCCAAGGGCGCCCAACTGGCTTCGTGCCTAAGGCAGGACTAGAACTCATGGTGTCCCAGTTTCTAGATACCTGTTGAAGATATATCTCTTCATCCAGTCCTTCCTTGTGCAAAATTTCTTTTCTGCACTGCCCTTCCCTAAGATACTTTCTCATAAGTTCGTGTTGCAACCATTATGAGTCATTGGACATTTTGGAAGGCCAACTGACTAGCTCATACAAAGATTTCATAAGTCAATAACTGGATGAAGAAAAGATATCTTAAAATATTACTTTTCAGGAACTGGTGATTTTTGTTACTCTTACTGGAGAGTATCCAATATTTGTTCAGCTTTCACCTCAGAAGACTAAATCAGACTCCCCATTCCTGACTCAAAATGAATTAGAATGTACTTTTTACTGCAATCTTGAAATTCTTGATTTCCTGTCTTATTTTCTGTAGGACAATAGCTCATGCAATTTTTAATTTTTAATTATTTTAATGATTTATCTTAATTTTGCTTTTGCTTTTAATTCTATTACATTTTAATACTTCTTTTGAAATCCAGCTTGAGTGTTAAGATAAACAGAAAGGTGAAGTAGAATTTCAATAAAAATAAATAAATATCACACAAATTATATATCAATAATTTTACTCAGGTAGCTACTAAATAAATTAAAGGCTCTGTTAAATATTCTATGATTTGAGATAGAAAATTACTACATCATCTTCAAAGGTAACCATAAAATAGTGCTTTATTATTATGGTCTATATAAACATAACTGAGAATGCTACTATGTAAATGTTTTTCCTTAGCTATTTTTTGAACTCTGATAATAAGGGGAAAAATTCTTTGCTTTCAATGCTAATCAAATATAGCTTTCAGGGGATATATATATATATAATTTTACTTTTATACCCCCATAAGTGTATCAAACATATATTTAAGATATTTACTGTTTACTTTCTTTAACAGTGATTTATCCGGGGCATTAATGGTTTGGATAAAACCATAATTTTTATTCTCTTGGAAGTATTGCATCCAAATTAGCATACATTATATTACAATGATGATAATTGGCTGTAAAATTAGGAAATGGCCATGTGAGAGTAAATATATTTTAGAGTGCTCTACAAATCTTTCAAAGGTGTCATTTTCCTCCTTAAAAATGGACTCATTCTGCATTACTGTTAAAAACATCTCTCCAACTGATTGCAGTCAGTGTTAAGGAAGATGCTTAAATTACCAATGGCAATAAATGGCAACTTAAAGGATTTAAATCTGTCTAGATAACAGCCACACCTTTTTAAATAAACTGGTGAGTACAGTGTTTAATATGTGTATTTTCCTCTTTGTTCTAGGCACAATCAAATCAATATTCAGCCACCCCAGACTCCAGCTCCCCCATTAGGATATGTCTCTGGAACATTAATATCAGATTTTGAAGCAGATATTCCAGAGGATGAAGATGAAGATGATATTGAAGAAGAGGCTATAGAAATCACAAGGCCATTAAGAGACCTAGAGCATACTTCAGGCTGCAGTATGGACAATCTTGACAGCTCTATGACAGGTAGACAAAGAACACTGACTACAAGCCCTATTTGTGAATGTAGAAAAACGTCATATGCAATGTAAACTTTAAGAGTAGTTGCAAAGTCAAAAACAAGTAAAAAAAAAAAATCCAAGGTAACTCAGTCTGAATTGATAATAAAATTACTGCTGATAGAAACAGACAACATTTAATTTATATATGAATTTCATAACTTCAGAAGGGTTTGGCTCTAGAACAGTCATTTAGGACTTTTGAAACCCAAGCATGCATAGTCTGTGTACATGATTAAAATTACTTTTGATCTAGTTAATTAATGTTTGTAACCAGACTACTTTCCAAGCTATTTAAGAACTAAGACTTGATTATTATGATTTCAAAACTAAATCCAATTGAAGGCATATAATTCTAAGTTTAAAGCATTTATTTAAAAGAGTATCTTATTAGTGTACCTGTATGGTATGTCAATCAATCAAATCTTTATTACGGTCAAAGACCAGCATAGCATGGTATGTCCCTTTGCCTAAATTTTCCTAGAATTTCTGGCATATTTTTTAAACAATAATTCTCCATATTTTTTCCATATATCCCAAGTAAGATTTTGGATTAGAAATATAGTAATATACTGTGATAAGATATCAGATTTTTTTTTTTAAATGACTTTGCTTTTTTCCCTAGTATCTTGAGAAAATAAGCCTTTGCTGCCTTAGCACCCACCCTCTGGAACATTCCCCTTCTGGTGATCGGCTTGGCTCTGACCCTCTGGCCTTTCGCAAAGGCCTAAAAACCTGGTTCTGAGGCCCCAAGCATGTGAAGGTGCCCACTTCCTGGCTATGCTAATGATGGTTGTGGTTTTCTTGGCTGCTTTGTATTTTAATTTTTATTTATGTTTCGGTATTTTTATTTATTTAATACTATTCACCACTTAGCTGACAGGAACCAGAACATGCCCTTCCTGCTGGATCAGATAGGAAGAAGCAACTGGGCAGAAACAGGGAGAGACAGTTGTATATTTCTTTTTTGTACTTGACACCACCTCATTTGTTGAGAAGGGTGGCCATAGAACTATCTATCTATCTATCTATCTATCTATCTATCTATCTATCTATCTATCTATCTATCTGAATGAATGAATGAATGAATGAATGAATGAATGAATGAATGAATGAATGAATGAATGATTATGATCTTGGAACACCTTTTCAAAGGATAAATAAGGGAAGAAAAATTAACCCACTCTTTATGTGTTTCATGCCTAAATTGTGCATGTGTGTGTGCGTGTGTGTGTCCATGAATGCACACCTTCAGGTCAGTTTTTGACTCCTGGCAACTGCCTGGACAAGTCCCTGCAGTTTTCTTGGCAAGGTTT